TCCGAATTAGGTCATCTAATATTTAAAACCCTAAAAACTCTAAACACTAAGCCCCAAATCCCAAATCTGATTTAGGTCATCTAATAAGAAAAAACCCTAAAACCCTAAACACTAAGCCCCAAAATCCTAAATCTGAATTAGGTCATCTAATATTTAAAACCCTAAAACCCTAAACACGAAGCCCCAAAATCCTAAATCTGAATTGAAATTTGGGTAGTTTGCAGGGGATCCCCGGGCTTCGGGCTCGGACTTGAGATTCAGATTTGGAGTCGGATTGTCTATGCGTGTCACAGGGTCCTAAAGTGGTTTAGGGTTAGGGTTTAGGGTTTAGGGTTTTGGGTTTAGGGTTTTGGGTTTTGGGTTTAGGGTGAGTGGGTTTCGAGCGGGGCTTGCAAGGTTTGTAGGTTTGTTTGGTGCACCATGCTTTGTAAGGGCGTTAGGGCTTAAAGCTTAGAGCTCCAGTGCAGGGTTTGGGATTGGCTTTAAGGCATCTGGGCTGGTGGGTCAAGACACAGGACCAGCACAGCTTTTCTCAACGGTTTTAGGGCGTTTATGCTGGACTCTGAATCATCCCAAACCTCAGAAACAACGTAGAGCTAAAGCCTGGAAGATTGAGGTACCCCTCCGAAGCCATCAAGATGCCACGATACCGTCACATGCCTGAAGATCATATCACCCCTTAGACCCATCTTGTAAGATCACCGAACGCCTCAGCCACTTACCCAGAACCCCAACACTGAGAGCTACCTCGTGAACCCCAAACCATCAGGACCCATAATGACCCTAAACCTCAAAGCCTAAGAAGGTCTCGAAGCCATGGATATACGCACATGGACAGTTGGCAGCATCAACCTGTAGCTTTCCCCACTTGTTCATAATACAACGCAGCCCGGAAACCTAGTTTGAAACCCTGAACAATTGAGGCAGCCTGTCTTGGAGAGGCACCTGCGAATTGTCCGACCGATGACACGCCACTGGGCGTCGTTGAGAAAACTGAAATAGAAGCGATTCGTCACACCTGCTGTTTGGGGTTGACGGTGGTTTAGGCTAGGGTTAGGGTTCAGGGTGATGCCGCTGATGGACAAAATCCTGCACTGCCTGCCTCAAGGACCCAAACCCGTTAAAAACTATGCACTTTTCTTATTGTGGGAAATGTGGGATTGTGTCCATCAGCCACTAGTCACACCTTCATTTGTCAGCTCTTGTTGACCTTGACTTGCAGGTTTAGAGCTTCAGGCTTAAGGCTTAAGGTTTAGTCGGGTTTTGGGCTATCAACAATTAGGGTTTCACGGCCTAGACACGGTTTAGGGCTTAAGGGCCTAGGGCTGTTTACGGTTTAGCAACAGACGTACAAGACATTTTCTCGGTTTGGGAAGGCTCCAACTGTGTGGAAGGATGTCTGCTGTGTGACGACCCGACTTGCATGTTGACACTCCACGGTGTCGCGAGGTCGGAGAGGGTCCAATTCTAAAGTCCAGACGGCTTCTAATTCCGATTACATACCCTAAACCCTAAGCCCTAAAACCCTAAACCCCAAGCCCTAAATATTCGACGCTTGCCGCTGTGGAGGGTAGTTATGCGAGCTGCAGCGATCAACACTACAAAAGGAGCGGTCCCTCCTGTCTAGGGTTTAAATCCTACAGGTTTTAGGATTTACAACCCTCAACCTTATAGGTCTAACCTTATAAACCCTATCATTAAATCTCGCTAGGCTTTAGGGTTTAGGGTTTTAGGGTTAGGGTTTGGAACCTCCTTGACATCCAGGCATGTGTTAGAGGATCCGTGTCCAATATTCGGGGCCCCTTGACAGGCGGGTTCTCGGGCGAACATGGAGTATGCTTAATATAGGCACGGTAAGGGGATGTACCATCAGAGATTATTCCGATGCTTATCGCATGTTGCTATAGCAGCTTAGGCTCTTCTTTCTGTTGTTGCACCTATTCCTTAAACTGAGATAGCCTTCTTCTTTGTGGCTCCCTCTCCTCCACCCTAGTATAGAATTCTCTAAGGACCCTACAAGAAAGTAGGTTTCGTAGTGGCTCAAAAGAAGGATCGGATCGACTGCTACTCTGCAATCAAAGCAACGGAGTGCCTCTGAAAGCCTCATGGACTTTAGGACTTTAGGACCAGTCATTCAATAATTCACATGAGACCGGCACACCAGATGCCTTCTTTAAAGCAGTAGGACTAGTAGCACTAATCATCAATCATCATCATAACCATCTTCACCGAGGCCCCCGAACCTGACGAAATTGGTAGGCAGCCTGACCAGGACCTTCGGGGCTGAGTACCCTAGCCCAAAAGAGGTTAGCCTTTCGGCTTCTAGTAGGATGATATATACGTCTCCAGAAAGCTAAAGGTCACCTACTCCGCCCGTAAGTGAGTTTAAGCAGACCCCTTCCATGCCTCCCGAGCGACTTGCCAAAAGCTTGGAGGTGTTGTATAGGTCCTCTGGTCGTCGGACCGGGGCTGCGGATGCGAGGCTGAACCGTGGCCAAGAGCCACTTACACATAAGACTACTACACTTTGGGAAGAAAGGCTCTGTTCGACAGGTTCCTGAAATCTTGTGAGCGATGTCCTTCTGTTAATTTGGTCATTTCGAGACAGGCGCAAGCAGGCCAAGAGTCTGAGAGGTCGTAGTTCTCGTAGCGTCCTGCAGGATTTGAGGTCTCATTGCCTTTTCCGGCGTAGGGCTTTTGGACTTTTGGGTTTTAGGGCGTATAGTTCAAAGCTTACGGTTTCGGGTTTCAGACTTCGTAGGCTCTGTTGCCACCAAAAAAATCAGCAACTTAGCAGTTCCATCCTGCGTTCGATTTCCGACTGACCATCGTGGGGGTTGAGGCTCGCTATAGCCATACAGCCCTAGGTATTTGGACTGTTTGGTAAAGTGAATTAGAACTGGGTTCAGCGGGGGTAAGGGTTTACGGCTGCGGGCTTGAGTTTCAGGGTTTCGAAACCAGTCTAGATACGTGTCTGTTTGTACTACAATACAAGACCTTGTGGCACGGTTCGGTTCGGGCCAACTAAGCCAGCTAGGCTTAGCTTGTAAGGTTCTTGAGCCTCAGCAAGAAGATGACACACAAACAGAATAATCAGAACATCACGACGACAACGACAGCAACCACAAGCAAGAGGACCAACACACACAGCAGCATGGCCCCACAACCATCGGCATGACCCTGGCACTCTTCATCAATCCCGGAAAATGTCAAGCTAAACTGAGCCTCGAAAACTTTGAAAACCGTCGCGCAGCTGCAGGGCGAAGTTCCGCTGGTAGTCGGCCATGGTGCTATAAGCGCCCCAGTCCTATCTGAAGGCTTGAAACTAAGGATCCGGATTTAGGGTTTAGGGGTTCAGGGTTTAGTCTAGAGTCCAGGGTATGTAGAGGGCTTCTTAAGAACTTCAGGTGGGTGTTGAATTATGTGAGGTTATGAATCAATGCTTTCGGCGCTTTTTCATAACATTTGCATTGTAAGCATGGCCTTCAGGGTTTATGGCTTCGGGGCTGACGCCTTCGAACACAACAGCCAATGTTAACCACGAAGTCACCAGGATGCATTGTTACAATCATGCCCGAACCCCCCAGGTACCTACTATATAGGGCACTAGAGCCCCTAGGGCCCTATATAGTAGGTACCTGGAGGGTTGGGGCTGACGATGATGTAAAACAAGGACCATCAAATTAGAGCAGGGTCTTGGCGGGAGGTTATACGACATTACTCAGGAGCCCCCACAATCACACAGCAACTGGTCTTGCAGGCCCCTAGACACTTATGATGATCGTTACAACCCCGAGGTAGGGGGGGTTGGGATTGAAGGTTTTGGACCCGTCCCCCAGCCTGGACTCGCAGATGTCAAATTGTGATTCATCTTCCGCTGGGTTCTTTAGCTCTAAACCCGAAAACTTGTAGCCTTACACACTAAACCCTGTCGCTGCATAACCCGCAATTACCCAAACCCCTAACCCTTCCCTAAATTTGCCTAAGCCCTAAACACTCTCAGGAAACCGCGCGGAGGTGGATCCTAAGTCCTTCGCGCCTTCGGGGATCATTGGGCATAACAATTTGATGTCGAGGCTCCTTCCCGGTCCATGTGCCCAAATAGCGTATACTTTGACCGAGAAGTACCTTGCTAGGGACTACTTTATACTATTTGGGTACATGGACCCTCAGGTTTGCCTGCGAAAGAACATTAGCTCAGTTGTGTTGGCCTTAAGTTCCTGGTTCGGATCGGGCTTAAAGAGTTTTGTGTTCAGGGTTTCGGGCTTTTTAGGGCTTATAGGATTTCTCATGACCATATTCGGCCGACCAGTCGTCGGCCTCTACAGCGTCATAGGTGCTGCGCAGCAACATCACGGCCAGTACCTGAAGCCGCTAATTTTGAGTGAGTTCCTGAAGACATATGAACTTTCTTGGGTGTTGTGGACCGTGTGCATCGCAACCGTAATTGCCCAAACCTCTAGGACTCTAGGCTCATCTGGTGCTGCTCCGGTTTATGAAGCTGTTACTGCTGTTGTAGTTGTTGTTGTGCTTGTCCTGTTCGCTTTGTGGTTGCTGTTGGCTGTGGCTGCTTGTTCGCGGCCGCTGATGGATACTGGTCGTAGTGTCCTTGCAGCCGTCGTTCGCTCAGTTTCCCGGTCACCCTAAACGCTGAACCAAAGACCTCGACCCTAAATGGCATTTGCTGACGGAGGCCTGCCTACCATAGCAGATGCTGCAAGCCGTCACAAGGCGGCTTGCGCGCGCCAGGTGTAGCTAGTTCCATTCGAGGCTGCCTTGCTCTGCAGCTCGACAAGAAGCATGCTCCTAAATCCCAAACCCGGAGAGCAAAACACTCCTTGAAACAAGACTATAAGACTATAATCCGACGCCATAGTCAGGACCTTACAGAGTTCAAGGCTTAAGGTATACTCCTCAATGAACGGATCTCGGACTCTCTGGGTATCAGACTCAGTTGCGTCACCAGACATTACCCTAGACTAGGGTTTTGTGCTGTACTATGTAGTCCCAAGTCGGGTCGGAACGAAACGTGCGCAGTCGCGGATGTATGCACGTTTCAAGCCAGGAACCAAACCGCTCGTGGTGTAGTGAATCACAGAGCCTGAGGCTCGATGTACCTATGTAGTACATGCATAGGCCTTTAAAGTACCTAAATAGGAACCCTTTTAAGGCCTAAGTATCTACTATATGGCTACATGGAGCCTTTGGGAGAGCTATCTTCAGCCCCCCAACATCGAATGGGGAAGCAACCTCTGACCACGGAGTTGCCTGCGGAATCTCCGGCGACTCTTTGGTCGTTCGGAAGATGGGCTTCTCTTCTGCCTTTAGCCGATTTAGGGTTTAAGGTGTAGGGGAGTTTAGGGCTTAGGGTTTTGGGGAGTTTAGGATTTAGGGTTCAGGCTTTGGGGTTTAGCTGGGATTGAAGGTTGGTCAGAGCGGCTTTGGGGTTTAGCTGGGATTGAAGGTTCAGAGATAACATGGTGCAGCACTGCCCAAATCCAAAGTCTGCCAGACACACCCCTAGTCAACTACCTAAATGTATGGGAGGACTGAGCCCCATGTCGCACCCCTAAACCGAACAAATCCGAAGACATACTTCCCAAGAGCAGCCCACAATACCCGAACTCTCAATGTCACGCGAGCCTGTGCTGGTGCGCTTGTCAAGCAGAGGAACATCCCAGCAATCATTCCTTGTGTGCCGATGAACAACATTAAACGTAGCACCAACCATCACAGTCATAAACAATGGCAACCATAGTAGCGACACTGCACCACTACTAGTTTGTAGTAGACAGGAGATGCTTGACTGGATATTTTAGTCATGCTGATCAGTTTCCTTGTGATTCTTACGAAACAGTCAGTGCCAGCAGGGCGAAATTCAAAGGAACCGAAGCTTTCACATCGCAAGGCCTGTCAGCTTCGGGCGTGGAGAGTTCAAGCCGTGGCGGGGTCCCAGAAACCGTGCAGTCTAAAGCTGACGTGCTCTTGGGTTCCGCCTGGGTCTCTCAGGTGGGGGTTTCCAGGGTTTCTGTCTTTTTGTTTAAAGCACAGGGCTTTTGGGCTTCCAATTTGGGGCTTTGCGGAGCCTTTAGGATTTAAGCTGGACCCCTAAATCCTAAACCCTGGACACTACAGCCCAAACCTGGGGGGCACCTGCATACAAACCACGGATTCACATGACTGAGGACTCGGCACCATGACCATGACTTTGAGTTTGAAGTAATGTAAGGGCCTCAATAATTAGATTAGGGTTTTGGGGTATAGTGCGTATGAATATATATAGATATATATGTGCATGTATGTATGTATACATATATCATATATGTATATATATATATGTTGGTAACTATGAAAGTTTCTATGGTAGACATGCCATGAGCACGTATACATCCCAGCATGCAGAACCGAACATTCGGAGAGCATGGGCATTTAAGCTACCTTCTCCTGCAAACAACGAATGCCAACCCCAAGCCCTAAACCCTGAACCTCAAACCCTAAACCCTAAACCCCAAACCCTAAACCCTAAATCCTGAACCCCAAACCCTAAACCCTAAACCCTGAACCTCAAACCCTAAACCCTAGGTCCGGGAATCTTCAAAGTGGATGAGACGGTGAGACTCTGAGAGCTGCACCCCTAAGGCCGGCGCTTAGGCTTTAGGGGTTTAGAGGTTTAGGGTTTTAGAGGTTGAGGGTTTAGGGATTTAGGGGTTTAGGGTTTAGGGGTTTAGGGTTTAGGGGTTTAGGCTTCAGGGAAGAAGTCTCAGGAAATATTTTTGGAACCGCAACTTTCTCGCGGCCCGGCTGCGTCGGGCCACCGCAGGCCGGCTCTCAGCGAAGTCAGGCCCAGAGAAGCCGAAAATGCCTATCGGTTGAGGGTTTAGGGGTTTAGGGCTTATAGGGTTTAGGGTTTAGGGCTTATAGGGTTTATAGGGTTTATGGGTTATGGGTTTAGGGTTTAGGGTTTAGGGTTGCGTAGATGAACCCTAAACCTCCAGGTACCTACTATATAGGGCCCTAGGGGCTCTAGTACCCTATATAGCAGGTAGCTGGGGGGTTAGGGTATCGGTTGAGGGTTTATGGTAGCAAGGGTCTGGGCTGCGGGATTATGGGTTGAGGGGTTGTCGCTTCTACACGGTTTGGTGTACTGTTTTTTACGTTTTGAAGCTTGCTTCTGCTTTGTGGAAGAAGCGCCCGAGTTGGTCGGGGGTCCACAACTCAAGCCTGAAGGGGTAAGTGTGTGAGTGCGTGATCATCTCCAGTTACCTTAGAGGCATATTTGTGAACGTTCGGACTAGTCAGAGGAAAATTAGGCCCTGAAAACCACGGATCTGTATGTTGGACACGTCGGCCCCAAGCTGCTTTGTCCTGTGGTCTAGCCTGAGGCCCAAGTACACGCAACAAAGGACCAGCGGGACACTATCCTGAAACAAATGCGATTGCGAAATTTATCAGACGTTCAGTGGTACGTATTGATCAGGAAGTTGAGGTTGGAGAGAGTAGTCTCCGGTTTGCAGGTTCGGCCTTTGGTACTACATAGGGGCCTTAATGATTAGAACAGGGTTCTGGACTCCTTTATGGCAAAATCATAACAAGGAATAACATTGGTAGTATTTCAGGCTTCTGTATTAATCCCAGAACTCTTAGAAGTGCTCTGTGGCAGCGATTGCAGTTGGGTCCCTTGCCTCGCGATTCCGTCACACTGGAAGCCTCTATAGCAGAGACCCACGGTGACATTTCTCTTGAGGCCTACCATGGATTTCACTTTTATGGGGTTGGAGCCGAGCATTCCTATGGAGGTCTAGTAGCCCTACAACCCTAAACCCCTTAAAACCGTCCACGGCTCGAGACAAGGGAAGGCTGGAACTTTGAGGACTTGTTGGGCTTGGCAATTACTTCTCACTCTCTCTGAGCCTTAAGTCTTGATTTGAAGCTCTGGGCCCTCGGCTCTGCTTTCCGTAGCGATTATCTGCGGCACAGCTCCACGCAAAGGTCCGAAGATCGTGCTGTGAACAAAACGTGTGTACTAGTATTTGCCCTTTGGCCTTGGGCTGTGAGCCCCCGAAGTTCTGGCGACATGTACCGATCTCGGGGTCTTAGTGCAGCAATGTGAGGGGGTCTGAGACTACAAATCCCACTATCGAAACTAAGCAACGCCAATCCAGTGGCGGCGTCATGAGGGCTTCTAGGTTCAAGCAAAACAATGTGTTATAGACTCGCCAAAGCTCTTCCACCTCCTGGAGTGAAGTCGGCCCCGGGAAATCTTAACCCCTGACCCACAATCCGTCAATCCCGAAGTCTGTAACGGTCTATCTTAACTTCAAACACTGCGAATCCCCAGGAAAGCTCGGCGTATATAACCCCCTTTTCACGCGCCTCCTGTCAGCAAGGAGGCGAGGCTTAGGCGAACCTTCGGGAACTTAAGGGTTTCGGGTTTGGGGGTTTTGGGTTTGCAAACACTACACACTCACTAAGAGCTAATTCTACCATATGCTTTCGTCCACAAATTTTCAATGAAAGTCTCAACATGTCAGGTCTTTTAATTAAAGAAGCTAGACATTTGGGCTTTCAGCAGCAACACGGAAAGTCACAGGACTCGCAAGTGATTCTAGCAACACTGTCAGCATTGCAACAGCATTGGGTATACTTACATGGGCGATAGTACCATAGCGTCCTGTGACCGAAGCAGTTCTAGAAAGTACCATGGTGCTGGTGCGGGTGGAAACGACGGCTCTGTGCTAGCATTGACAGAAATTTGTGATACGAATGGCAAAGCACAGGACATGTACCAACCGTCACCACATACATGAAAGCATGCACAATGCTAGACAGTGATGCTTGTCATCAGTTAATTACCCATCAACCCACTCACTATCGCCCTCATCCTGATCCGTGTGTCCATGCTCATCCTCATCCTTGCCCTCGCCCTCGACGTTATGCTGATCCTAAACTTAACTAAGCCTGAACCCTGAGCCGCTAGCATCATTCCAACTCGTTCCGCGTCTCCTCCCGTCATCATCATCGTCATGATCGCCGTCATCATCATCATCAGCAGCAGCAGCACGCTTGTTATCATCATCATCATCATCATTTCACCATCATCAGCATCACCGCCCGCATCGTCCTAATAATCGTCATGCTGATGATGGCAGCACTCGTGAAAACACAAACCAATAGCACAAGCTCGAGACATTCGTGAGCATGGTACTTATAAACTTGTGGAAGAACAATCAAGCAACCACAAACTGTTGCGAATCAGCATTCAGCCCAAATGCTAGTCTGCATGCCTGCAGATAGGGTCAAACCCCGAGAAACCTCGACACCGAAACCAGGAGTCTGGCGAAAATGCGCCGGTTGCGGTGGCGCTGCATGGTTGCCATGATCCCCGCTGCAGGTGCTGATGCTACTGCCTTGGTTCCGTTACTTACTTGCTGAGCTCCCCATCAAAAAATGTCAAACTTCAGATCAAAGTTGTTTGCTGGTCTTCAACTTCAAGGTGTTGCTGTTGCTAAACCCTGAACCCTAAGCTTAAACTTGAACCCTAAACACCTGATCCTGAGCATCTATGGGGCTCGATTGTGCTCACCACACTGTTTAGGGATGAGGGGGTTTAGGGTTTAGGGAGTCCAGCCACCGAACGAGGGCATCATCGAAAGGGGTGCTAAAAGTACGTAGTCTTCTGAAGAGCTTTATACGGACTTTCGATTCTGAGACTCTGGGCGGGCTTCTTAACACCCGCAGCCCCTTGGCGATATGTATACGCAGCAGCTCGGGGGCCGCGCTGGAGCCGAAGCGTATGTACGCATGCATGCATGCATGTACACTACGCAGGGTGCTTGAAAGATCGGGGACAACCCTGAAGCTGAAGGTCGACGGCACATTCCGGCACATTCTACATTCCGAAACCCGAGACTGCTAAACTGCTAAACTACTCAGGGTTTAAGGTTTAGGATGTATGGCTTTGGGCTTATGTTGTCTTGGTTGAGGGCTTCGGCCCCATAAGAGCTAGACCCTGATCCCCGACACCCCAATCAGGGCCATGAGTCCTAAACCCGAAACCCTCAGGGCCGACAAAAAAACAACAAAGCCAAAACCCGGGCAAGGCTCACTAAGACATGCCATGAAGGTCTATAGGGCTCTAATTATACTCTGCCCCTATGGTTCCTCCATGTTCACTCATGCTACAACATAACCCCCCCCACTCCAAAATCTATTCTGACTATGATAATGCCTCCATGTAATACAGGATGGCAGTGTTTCAGGCCAAGGGGGCTATCGGTTTATCCCAGCTATGGGAAACAATTCGGCTTACTGTAGGAATTGTAGCTCGCCCGCCGCTTTGTCCCTAGCTCCGCAAGTAGCCGGTGTGGAAATCAGGCAGCAGAGCCGTTGGGACGATGGCGTGCCTATGAAGCATCTTGGTCATGAACAGCGGGCCATCTAAACACGTCTGTCCATGCTTCAGCTGGATGTCTGCTGCCTCGACGGTATCTCCGAAAACAAGAACAGCATCCATGCTTTCGCACGCGAACTCGGGGTTCAGCCTTGCTCTCATCACGCAGAAGGTGGACAATGTCGACAAGATTCCGCTGTTGTGCCACTTCTAGAGGCGTTTCAGATGGAATTCCGGAGGCTCGGTGCTTGTCTGCACCCGCATTCAGAAGCAGGCGTACGACGTCTGCATGGTTTGCCTCTGTAGCAGCATGAAGCGGCGTCTCCATGTCAAACCCGCTCGCCTGATTCCTAGGTCGGAGAAGCACTGGAACACGTTACAGTAACTGTCTGTTTCGACTTGAACTGAAGCTGGAAGTTAATTGTTTTGTGGCAGGTGTCGAATTCGAAGCAAAATCACCGAAATGAACACTGCCAGCAGGTTTGATTAAGCCGTAAACCCTACACCCCTAAACCCTACAAACTAAATCCTAAAACCTAAAACCCTAAAGCCCTAATACTCTAAACACCTAAACCCTAAAACCCCGAACCCTGAAACCCGCACAGGAGATATAAGGATGAAAGGCCAAAGCATGCCAAAGCTCTTATCAGCTCTGGCATCCAAAAGGAGTTGCACAAGCTTGGCATGGCCAGAGTACGCCGCTACATGAAGCGGCGCGTCTCCACAGCTGTTGCCCTGATCCTTATCTGCTCGCGCCTCCAAAAGCAGACGAACCACGTCCAGATGGCCATTCACACAAGCTAGCAGAAGAGGAATGCCTCCATATGGATCTTCGGGCTGCCGGTCGGCACCAGAATCAAGGAGCAAGCCGACGACTTCTGTGTGCCCAGACGTTGCTGCAGCATGAAGAGGTGCATTCCCACTGCTGTTGCCCTGCTCCATGTCAGCACCAGCCTCCAACAGTAGCTTTGCAACATTGAGGTGGCCTTCTGAGCAAGCCAGCAGGAGGGGCGTGGCAGAACAACTTTGAGGCTGTCTGTTTGCACGGGCTTCCAAGAGCAAGCGCACGACGCCGGCATGGCCATTGCGCGAGGCCACATGGAGGGGAACTTCCCGGCTACCGTCGCACTGATCCTTGTCAGCGCCAGCCTCAAGAAGCAGCCGGACGGCCTCCTCGTGGCCATGCGACGCTGCTAGCATCCTTGGCTGCGGATCGCCAGGATGCTTTTCGAGGTTCGACCCCTGAGACTAGTAAAGTGGCCTTAATAAATAGAATAGGGGTTCCGGGGTATATTATACTTCAGTCATAATAAGAAACCCCCCACCAAATAAAAAGATAGTATTGATAGTATTTGATAGTTATCTAAGCCCAAGAGACTGGACACGAAAGACACGAGTCTCATGCGATCCGAGCCGCAAGGGTGTCTGATCATCCTGTCCGGCTACGTTGGGATCGAATGGCGCCTTCCCATCTGTGCTTGAATTCCAGATTCATTCATGACTTTGAAAGTTGCTTAACGGAAAAAGACTTTTGACTACATTGCAATGTTCTTCGGCATGGGTAGAGTTAGCAGAAGAAGACCATGGTGTTAGAGCACTCTCCCGACATGGTATCGTGGCCACCGAGCGTGGAATCAAAAAACGTCTCCTCGATGGCGAAGGTGCCGACATTTCAAGAGTGTGACTGGGAATCCGCTGCTGAGAACTCGAGGCTAGATCTTCAAACCCTGCCTAGAAGTCGGGGTAGAGAGCTGACTGAGTTTAAAAGTTTGGGACAGAGGGGTCTGCACCTGTGCATTTCCGGACCCTATGCATACAATAACCTGAAACCAATACTTGCTAACACGTTTCTGATCCAGGGCCTGAGCATGCAAAAGTTATTAATCAGGAGTTTACCAGTCACCCCAGGTGTCCAGACCTGCAACATCTCCTCCACCTTGGCGAGATGACCCAATTCTGCGGCACGTAAGAGCTCGGAGACCCGGTCCTGGTTACAAAAGCCATGCAGCAAGCTATGTTTGGGGTTTAGGCTTCAGTGTTTTAGGCTCTTCTGGCAGAATTCAGTTATCAGCAGCAAGTAAGGAATCATGCCCCTCAAGTGGAGCTGCTGCAGGTTGGCCTCACTATCACTAAACCCTAGTTTGCTTCAGGTAAAGCAGCCTGAACTGACAACATCGAAGCGGCTCGTTCTTTTACCAAACAATGGCACTGAACTCACTAAACCTTACACTCGCCTGCCTAGCTTAATTAGACCACATAATTACCATGACCTAAACCCTGAACAAAGGAACCTTAGGCCCTACAATCCAAACTCTCATAACCGCTGCTATAGAACCTCATCTTGACCCCTATCGAAGCTGCGCAGAGCAATTCTACAATCCAGAAAGCACGCTTGTAGAATCCGGGGACCTCTTATAGAGTCCTTTCGTAGTGCCCTTATGGAAACCCCGACAAAAAGAGCCCATAGAGAACCCCACTGTAGCCCTCTACGGAACTTCTCCAACAGAAAGACGCCAGAACCCCTCGGATGGAACTGTCAAAAGTTAAAAGTAGAACTCCGATATAGAACCCTAAACCCTAAAACTCGTACCCTAAGCCCTGATCTTCAACCGACGGTGCTCCTGGGATGCCTCAAGAAACGGCAGTAAGACAAGCTGAAGCTCCATGGGAGCGTCGAGCCTCCATTTTTAGGGGGCCCTGGCTAGGGTTTAGGGTTTAGGGTTTAGGGTTTAGGGTGGCTATTTGGAAGAGGGCTCATTTGAAAGGACATAGACTATACTACATATAATCCCTAAACCCTCAACCCTAAACCCTGAACCCTAAACCCTAAACTCTGAACCCTAACCCCTACACCCTGATAGCCTTACTAAGTCTCTTTAGAGTCAAGGCTCCGTAAGCCTTCGGGGTTGAAGGCTTTAGGGTTTAGGGTGCTCCAGGGCTTGGGTTTTTTGGGGTTTCGGGTTTCGGATTTAAGGTTTGAGGTTCAGGGTTAGGGTTTGGGGTTCAGGGTTAGGGTTTGGGGTTTAGGGTTTAGGGTTTAGGGTTTAGGGTGTTTTAGAGTTTAGGTGTCCGCAGACTTTCATGCTTGCTTTGAGATGTCTTGTGTATAGGGGGGTTCGAATGTTCGTGTTTTGTAGTCCGCTCTTTGTTCGAGGGCCGGCGGAAGGACTCTAGGGTGTGTGAGGGGTTGTCTCAATTTCATCTCTTAATGGGGCTGGGAGTTCAGGGCTATCGGGGTCGGGGGCCCGCACTCCCAACAGTATTAGGGAATTTGAAGGTTAAGGGTTAAGGGTTTAGGGAATCTAAAGATTGTTGTTTGGGACTTCGGCGCAGCCTGGCATCATCTTCCAAACTGAAGTCGTTGTGCAGGAGCCTCTGCCTAAAGCGGGTGACGCCGCAGACTGGCTGCAAAGATGTCTTCCTGAGCAACATGTGGAAGCTCCCTTACATTCGCATTTCCTGCACAATCTTGAACCCTCAACCCCCAAACCCCTAAACCCCAAACCCGAAACCCCTAAACCCCAAACCCTGAACCCAAGCTTCCTAAAGCCTAAACCCTAAACCCTGGGGTCCCTGTAGACCCGAGGGTCCCTAAACTCGAAGCCGTTTCGGGTCTCTTGTGCTCTCAAACTCCCCGTTCGGAAGGCTCCCTTAATTTGATCTTCCCTTTGAGGCGTCATTGCTTCCGTTGCTCAGGGCCTGGGCCGAGATCCACCTAAACGGGCTTGCCGCTTTAGGGTCTTAGGATCCATCCAAAAGCATGTTTATACTTACCCCTTCCATGCCCATTCTAGTGACCCTAGCTTTAAATTCATCACTGTACCGCAGCCCTGCTCTAGTAACTCGAACATCATAGCCGTCATAGGCCTCATAGTAAGCCCTGCTGTAGTAACACATATGCCCTAAACCCGTAAATACATCGTGAAGTACTCGTGCTCAGGATTTGGGGCCAAGGGTGCTCGTACACCGTTTTCGGGCCTTCGGGTACTTGCGGGCTTTACGCTCGTTCATACAAGGATTCGACGGGGACACGTTCAGACTCCTTTATGAAGCCCGTGCCGTCCAGCAGGAACTGTCAGTGTTCATGATGGAGCAAGTCGGGGCTTCAGCAGCAGGACAGCTTTGCTAGACCCTCGCAGCCTCGCTGCCCCCAGCTCTCAATACCAGGAGACGCTAAACCCCAAACCCGAAATTTGCAAAGTGTCAGGCTTCGCACGTCACTGAGTTCTTCCCTTCTCACGGCGGCCAGCTCTGCAGCAGAAGCCGCCCAAACGCGCAGCATGACGCGGCAAAGCTACCGGCTCTCTTGTTTCCCGAATCCTCCACCATTCAGTATCTTTGTCGAATTTCATGGCGTTGTACAAGGGTTTCATCAATACATGTATAAGTAAATACATAATTATGTATATCTATATATAAATATATATTATATATTTATGAAATCTATATATATATATGTGTATGTATGTATGTATGTATGTATGTATGTATGTATGCATGCATATATATATATATACACACGTACATTGTAAACACCCATATGTATATATATATACACACTTATATCGCTCAATTTATCTGTGAACCTGAACTTATAGCGTACCTTGGGGAGAAAGCAAGAGTGCTGCTGTTGAAGCCGTATATGCGAAAACTGACACTCGGTTGACAGGGCTTTGGGTTTGGTTCATGTCGGGTGGGTTATGGATTGGTGATTCTAGGCTGTAGGGTTTAAGATCTCAAAGTTCAGGGCTCAGGTCTTTAGGTTTCGGGTTTAGTGCCCTGAGGTTACAGAGAGCACCCTTCGTTCGGGTTTAGGGTTCAGGTCGATGCGATGCTTCACAAGCAACAAGTGGAAACCCGTGGACTCCAGCCTAGAAAATCCATACACCAGGAGACTGAATCAGGAAGGGCACACGAAACGGCAGCAATTTTCTTGTGAGACATATCATCATCGTTCTCATGGATATATGCATATAACTCGCTGGATACAGATCAATACGTACAGTATTGCTGTGGCTGTCGGCTGGGGAACAAAATTTGTTAGGGCAGGGGGCCTGGGGCTCAAAGATTTGAGCCAACCATCTCCAAACAAAAACAAGGGGTGTAGCACCCAGGGCCTTGGGGCCAGGACACAAGCAGACACTTGCGGTCTTCAAGTAGGCAGCCCTCCCTGCGCACCCATGAACCCGATCGATCGAAAGGCAAACGACCCTTGGCTGCTCTCATCGACATAGTACTTGACCTGGACGGAGGAGTGCCGGAGTGTCATCATCCTCAAATCCAAGTAGATTCTGAATCTCGAACACCTCCAACACCCTTTGTGGACCCTCACTGTCACCTTCCCGGAGTTCCATTCCTGAAACACATCATTCACTCACCTCCTCCATGGTGAGGTCATTCGCCGAGTCTTCCTGTGGCAGCGCATAGGGTCCACCAGCTCCTCACCAGCCCCCCAAACGGACTGTCGTTGCTTCGTTTAGCCCTGTTGCCCCATGCAGTTCACCAGGTCCTTTGCAGTCAGATGGTTCCAATCAAATGCAGGCATGCAGCAGGACACTCGTGTGCACAACATCGTCACCTTGAGGGACAACGTGGTGTCTCCTTTGTGGTTTAGCGGCCCTGAGACTCTTCTCCTCCGGGGAACATCAGCACTTCCACTGCGAGGCTCTACCAGCATCACCATGCGCTGCCGAGGAGCAGGTAAATTGCTGTATTCCAAGGCCTCCCACATAGCCCAATCGTTCCATTCTTGCGCTCTTGGGCTAGGCGCCCTCCTCTCTACGAAGCTCTTCCCTCATGTCCTCCACCTCTGCTTGTTGCCTCTCACGAAGCTCCCTTGCCTCCGCTTCGTCGGTAGCCATCCTGACTACTTCTTGGCCGAAGTGGGTGTGCATCGGTTGAGGAAGTGGAGGTCCGCGTGGTTTGTCGCTGTGGGCTACCTCTCCATCCGTCGGAGTGTCTTCCAGGAGGGGATTTGCAAAAAAAGATGGGCATCGGTTCCTCCGCTGGGACAGCTCTGCCCACGGCTGCCAGCGACCCCGCCGTGAGGAAGGCGATAAACCTCCACACCATTCAAGGCACCAGACTATCCATGGTTTCGCATGCTCCAAAGCATCACTTCTGTGGTCCGGTGATGCAAGCGTTGCCTCAGCCACCAAGCATTGGCCAGCCGGGCAGCCTCCGTTTGGACTTCCAGTGCCCTGCTACAATTAGCCAGACACTCTGTTTTTGCTTCCACCGCCAGATCGATCTGTGCACCGTGAGACACTAGCTCAACATGGCGAGCTAAATATGTGAGACGGTGCCTAGACGTGGATCTGTTGTCTGCTGATGTAAATGTTGCACTTATGGAGGCCCCTCTGCAAGGGATTGAGTGTCACGGCTCTCCTATAGTGCGATGTATGATGAAGAGACCAAGCCTTTGTTTGCGCAACTTCACAAAGCCATGAATGGCTTGAGGGTAGGACCTCTTAGTTGGTACCTTGAGTTCATAAACACGTTGTGTGGAAAGTTTGCGTTTGGTGAGACCGCCGATCCCACTGTGCATCCTCTAGGCTTGAGTCTGATGGTTCGTTGACTCTGGTGCTTGTTTACGTTGACGACCTGATCATCTACTCTCAGACTCCCAAGATTGCCAAGGAGCTCTACTCGAAGCTCTCAAAGATCTATAAGATGGAGCAATCTGGGATCTTGAAACCTGGTAAGCGTGGGCAACTAGAGTACTTCGGAAGAGTAATTGTCCGAGCGACGGAAGACGGGCCAAACACTTGGGCCTGTTCGGCATTCCGCAATGAGGTCCGACCTCATGGGACAGAAGACAAATTCTCGCACCATCAACCGCCTCGGAGTCTCGTAAACCTACCGCCCGTGTGTAAGGCACTCTCGCTTCCGCACCAAGCCGTGTCGACCTCCCAAACAGAAGGGTCTGAAATCGAGCCTCCAAGTCGTCGGCCAAAGCGCGAACGCTCCTTGAAGGCCAAAGGCAGCCAACATACAGCATGTAAGAACACTTAGTTTCGAGAACCACTTGACAAGCATGCGAATCCTGGCTATCTGTGACTACTCCAACAAGCCCAGATCGAGCCCACCCCTGACTTCCGTAGGTGGGCGTGCCGTCCGGTTCCAACAAACATGGTACAGAGCTGACTCAGCGATTCTGTCGCAGGAATTTGAAACGATGTAAGAGATTTCAAACGGTTTCGTGGACTTAAACCAGTTGACGGGCATGGCTCTTGCAATGAATCACGAACTTTGCAAGACACCGTTTTGTCAGTCGCTTGTGGATGTGGTACTCCTGCCAAAGTCGCTGGGCGGCTTGACAACCGAGGCTTTAGTCGCATACTGTGTTCGCTTTTTCGCTCGGCGTACATTGAGGAACCGGATGTTAGCGGTTGTCCCACTCAACAAGAGCAATCCTTTGTTCATTGAGTGGCTCACCAAAGAGGTCGGAGACTACATTTCTTGGCTCCTTACAAGCAACCTTCCGCGTGAGGAGATGTTTCAGCAGTGCTATTTCGACAGTAGGAAATGGAGTTTCTAGGCTTCAAAAACAGCACCTGGCTCATCACTGCGTCTTGTTGGTGTTGTGAGTTCAATTGTCAATGCCCTTGTTGCTATCCCGCTCCTTGAATATTTTCGGTGAAAACGACGAAACAACTATGGCATACCTTGGCTTATACATACATGGCCCGAACATGTGTGCCGAGCTTTATAACTGTGACCAAGTGGTAAAAGACGACAGCCAGGGACATGTTCCAACGCTGATACATTACAGCATCACCCTTGGGGGACGCGAAGGAAGTGGGGGGGGGGGGGGATACTACTGTTGANNGCGTAGGCCCAGCCAACAGAAGCGATTGCCACCTCCAACGCTTCGACTGCATATAAATGAGCAACGAGCGTCTTCTTGATCTCCAGATCCAGAGCAGCGCTGACTTGTTGGGCAGGAGACCGAGTGAAGCTTTCACAGGAGAAAGAGTGTAGCGAAGTTGCCATGCATCCAACTCTACTCAGTTCGGCATCATGCGGCATCATGCTTGAGCCAGGACTTGCTTAGGATTTAGGGTTTAGGGCTGCGGGAAAGCATTACAAGCCAACTACACAACCCTCAACTCCGGTTCATAACTCCGGTTCATGCGTTTATGGCAAAGGGCCTGCAGCCTGCATAAAGGACACCAAGATATATCTGAACCGGCTCACTGCAGCATAAACATTGGAACCACCCTGAATCGTAACCCTCAACCCTAAGCCCTAAAGTCATGACCATGGTCCGGATCTCAAGCTCTTTCTTCACGGAGCACACAATCAGTCGTGGAAGGCTAAGAAGCCGTTTTCAGCTCGCCTGGTGTGGCTCAGGGTTTATCGCTTAGGGTTTTAAGGTTTGTCGCATAGGCCAACCTCATGGACGTTCGCAAATACTAGCAAAACGCAGG